GTTCGGCGACGTTCCTCTTACTAGGACGTCAGCCTCTTTGTATACAAAATGCCTATTCACAGGCCATTCAAAATCAATACAAATATATTTTCAGTTAAACGTGCCAAGTGTTTTTCTTTTTCTGTTTTGTTTTGCGAAGAACGTCCAAGGTTCAATTTGTGATATATGCATTGACAATAATTTGCTTACTCATAAATATTTGCATACGAAACAAAGGAATTAATTGCAGGTGACACTAGAAACAGGGGCAATAAAAGAGTTTGTCTGAGCAGTCTAATTGTTCTATTCTCCAAGGTACCAAGGTAGGTTCGGCTGAAGAACATAACCAGACATCTTAATTCCCCAAAGAGTGAGCCAGCAAGCAGTATACCCTCCTCAAGCCAAGCTATATTATCAACCTTATGGAAGTTGGGTATCCTCCGGCAGGTCTCAACATTCCCCAACAGCATATATACATGTATTCTTAAACAAGCATCCCCGACAATCTTGGTCTAAAGATTGTTGCCCGGTGGTACATCAACATTCAAAGGAATCACTTCCCCCGCAATTCAAAAACTTCCCCATGAGAGTCCAGTCCAGTTCCCCAGGAAAGTTGGGATCCATCTCCCCAAACAGCAAGCTTATCCCCAGTAAATTCTGGAAGCTTATCCTCGCAGAGCACGAACGCGTCGTCTGGCTTTATTCAAAGAGTTATTTCCTTAACAGGATATAACTGGGTTATCCTCAGCCAAAAGCCATGGAAAGATCGTCGTCAACGAAGTCTTCTTACCCCAGCGAAGTCCATCAACGCTTCCAATACAACGAGGGTATCCCCAGCAAATTATTATCAACACTCAGCAAGGCACCCCTCTTCCCACAGAGTATTGCTTCCCAGCATGGTCGCTAGAGTATCTTTTCTCCCCGCAGAATCTTCCATTTGCCAAGTTCATTCCGCAACGGAGTCATCTTCTCCTACCGGTATTCTTGCAACTGTCATCCCCAGCGGAAGCAAAAGCTTATTCTTCAACATCAGCCCAGGATACGACTTCCCGGCACCCGTCAAGGATTTACTTTCCTAGACGAAAACATACATCACATACATCATTATAGCATGCATAGACGCATCATACCATACAAATCTCATTTATATTAAGAACATCATTGCGTGATCCATACCATGCATTGCATATGACTGACCTTTACCTTTCAGGAAAGATGCAGTTAAATTCTCAAACATATTTCAAAGCCTTCTCTAATCCAGCTAAATCGACTCCCAACAGATTTTTCTGATAAAGACTCAGCAGAAGCCTATGGTCCCCTCTCCAACAGTGCGTGAGGTGGTAATTCCTTTTTCAGATGTTTCCCTCTCCGACGATGAGTGTGAGGTGATAGTCTCCTATGGTCCCCTCTCCGACAAGTGCGTGAGGTGGTAATTCCTTTTTCAGATGTTTCCCTCTCCGACGATGAGTGTGAGGTGATAGTCTCTTATGGTCCCCTCTCCGACAAGTGCGTGAGGTGGTAATTCCTTTTTCAGATGTTTCCCTCTCCGACGATGAGTGTGAGGTAATAGTCTCCTATGGTCCCCTCTCCGACAAGTGCGTGAGGTGGTAATTCCTTTTTCAGATGTTTCCCTCTCCGACGATGAGTGTGAGGTGATAGTCTCCTATGGTCCCCTCTCCGACAAGTGCGTGAGGTGGTAATTCCTTTTTCAGATGTTTCCCTCTCCGACGATGAGTGTGAGGTGATAGTCTCCTATAGCCCCCTCTCCGACAAGTGCGTGAGGTGGTAATTCCTTTTTCAGATGTTTCCCTCTCCGACGATGAGTGTGAGGTGGTAGTCTCTTATGGTTCCCTCTCCAACGGTGAGTGAGGTGGTAATTCCTTTTTCAAGATGTTTCCCTCTCCGACGGTGAGTGTGAGGTGATAGTCTCTTATGGTTCCCTCTCCGACGGTGAGTGTGAGGTGACAATTCCTTTTCCTATGATTCCCTCTCCGACGGCGAGTGAGGTGATTCCCTTTCAGATTATACAGGTCTATGGTTCCCTTTCCGATCCTGCGAAGATGGTATTTCCCACTAAGATTTTTTCTCAACGAGCGTTGTTGAAGTTAAAATCACCCAAGGTTCTCTTACCATCCATGCTAAGGCAGTAACCATACCTGGTTCATTCATCATCTTTTGAAGCTCCAGATCCAGCTCCTGTAACCAGTCAGGACATATCTATACCAAGCATCTAAAATCAGCTCCTGCAACGTGTCAGGTACTCATTTTTTCTTTTGCAGGTATGCAGGTTCTCGCCAAGGAATCTCCCACGCGATCAACATCCAGATGGCATCTATAAGCCCATCATCCTATTCATCGAACTCTAAATGGCATCTATAAGCCCATTCCCCATCACACTGCTAACATGTGAGCGCAAATTTCTGGGCACTCTAGTGTCCAATCATCTTCTACCCTCGGATTAAGAAAGGCACGCCAGCCAATCTGCATCCTCAGGTCTAAGAAGATTGAACAGGGGCAACTGTTGTACCCCAAAATTTGCCCTCCCATATTCTCCAAGAAATTGCCAAGCCAAGTCACAAAATTCCCCAAGGGTTGCACAGTGCAAAGGTCTCCTATACAGTCAAAACTAGGGTTTGGGTTCTGATCAAGAAAATGAAGTTTTCAAAGGCCCAATCAAGTCTCATATGCTTACAAAGATGGTCAAGCATCCTCATATCAAGTTTCAAGGCATTCAGCTCAAAATTGCACAGTCAAAATCTTAAATTGCACTACAGTCAACTGTAGGGGCAAAATGGTCATTTGACAGTCAAAAGTTCAAATTTTTGGTCAACATATCATTTTGAAGCCACAAACATCATTTGATCAATGCTTGATCATGATTCTCAAAATTTGGCTCAGAAATCATCAAAGATGCAAAAGTTACTATATTTGGACAGTTGAAAAAGTCAACTGAAATTGACCAGGGCATAACTTTCACATGGATTATCAGAAAAATTCCATCCAAAGCTCATTTTGAAGAGAAAGACATTTCCTACAACTCATCTTCATACTTCAAGTCCAAGAAATGCTCTCACAAAAAGTTATCAATTTCAACATTATAGGTCATTTCCAAAAGTCAACAAAAAGGGACTTTAAGTCAAAGACCATAACTTGAGATTGGTAAATCAAAATGACATGGGACCAAAGGCATTGGTTAAAGGACTCAAAGACCTTTCCAAAATGTCCAAGAACATGAGAAAAGATTAAAAATTGAGCAAGTTATGCCTTGTGGAAGTTGGGAAATTTTTGGATATTTTGAAAAGTCAACATTACTTCAAATGACCTAAAAATGCTAATGGGCCCATTTTTCTTCCATGATTCATCATTCTAAGCATGTGCACGACCACTTGGCCCAAAGGGAAGTATTTTCTCATTTTTTATTTATTTATTTGAATTATTATTAATATTAATTCATTTAAATCATTTAAATATGTGGAAAATATATAACTTGACCTAAAAAATCTTTTTATACATGTTTTAAGGTCAATATTTCGTGTAAAGGCAAACTAGGAAAGATTTGGTCTGATTTGAGCTAATTGATACAAAGAACACATGAAAAAGATTCAAAAAGATCTTTAAAATCAAATTTTCAAAAATCATTATGGCAAGAGATTTGATGGAGTTTTGTTGACCTAATAGCTTCACTACAAAGTCAGGAACACAAACCTAATCGTGCTACACTCTAAGCTGCGCAGAATACACCATTACAACATTGAATTTTTCTCTAAAAACTCAAATACTGAAAGCATGCCTACATCTATCCTATTTCATACCCTCTTTTTATTGTGAATGCATGATCGAAGCATGACTGCATCTAACTAGACCAACATCTCATAAACAAAACATGTACATCTTCTCGTGGCATGCTCGTAAATTAATTGACCAAACCTAGCATCGCAAAAGACTTAAAAGCTCAAAATCAAACCCCAATGCTTTCAAGCTTTCACAAGATTAAAAGTTATGATTAAAGGGGGTTGTATAAAAACCAACAAGAAAAAGGTAATAATAAGAATAACATTGTTAACGAGTCAGGATACAAAAGCCCGATAAAACTTTATAGGGACAAAATGAAAATAAAGGAGTCAGTATATCTAGTAAAAATTCAACTGCTTGATGGTGATAGGATGGTCAAGACAAAATCCTAGTACCTACTCCAACGTTTAACACTGTCATGTCAAGATGGACCAACACCTCTCAGATGAAGCACATATATCTTAACGCCACTTTCCCCCAAATAAAGTAACTTGTCACAAATAATAGTTTTTTACATTTTAATATTTTTCATTTTAATATTTTTCTTTTAATAACTTTGTGGCAGAAAACCTTCATAAATTGCAAGAACATAAACAAACCCCAACACCATGGTTCATAACAATACATATGGTAGAACAAGCACATTTTAAACAGGAAAAAAGAGGAACATCACTAACGATAGGAATAAAGTAAAATTACATACACTTTAGAAAAAAGGGGAAAAAGCGGACGAATGCAAGGACCTTATTCAAGAATAGAGACAACCTTACCGTCTTGGAAAATTTGACTCGGCCAAATTTGCTCCCTTGAAACAAACAACAGAAGATGGAAATACTCCACTTGCTACAATGCATTCTCAAAGGACTCTACAATTTCCACCAAGATTCATAAAAGCATGTTCTTTCCATTGTTGAGCCAAAGAAGCAATTTGACTGTGTAGCAACTTCAACTCCTTTTGGGCAAAATCAAGAGCATGGGTATTTTTCTCCAACGTTCCCATGAGATGCATCACCTAACCCATAGTACTAGAGAGATCAAATGAATCCAAAGCTTTGTGTACCACTTGTAAAGAATCATAAAATTTATGTATTTCTCTTAAATATGTATCCCATTGGGAAGTAAAACTACTCATGCTTCTTATCAACCGACTCATTTCTTCACGTGCCTTGTTTGTCCCAAGAGCTTCCTAACAACTATATCCAGCTAAGGATAAAGCAACATAAGTGTGCCTAGAAGAATGCGCTAGGTTTTTCAATCCCCTCACAACTCCTGCCCAAAAATATTAGCAAAAACATCCAATCATTGTTGAAGAGTGAATCACGACGATTGCGGGAGGGGCTGGGGCGAGAACCGAGATCCACATGCAAACCTAGAGGAGCAGCCAAAAGAGAAACATTTCGAGGAGGATCTGGGGAAATAAAAAGATCTGCAACGGCGTCAGGTGGTTGTATTTCTCGCTTTAGGATTGATACCCTTAATTCGTTCTTCATTACATTTCCACGAAAATACGATCGTTATCCTAATGCTAACACAAAGAAAGGTTAAATCAACAATAAAGAGCAGAGAAGATTTCGAGTTTACCAAAAGCCTCCTGATAACCCCCATGAGAACAAGACCCCATCAACATAAAGATATATATCATGCGTTTTAGACATTTTTATTGGCTTCGAACGAGGGGACTACACCCTCGATATAACCCTAGCGGTTAACAAAGTCTACCAGCTTCTTCTTCTGAAAAGATTCCTCGACGGAAAATTCATTTTCTCCATAAATATAATAGTCATTCCCAAAAATAAAGTGCTTCACCGACCAAAAATAAGGAAACATACACCTACCCTTCATTTTAGATTCAACCTCACATATAGTCACATGAGCCAGAGAGTGAAGGGGGTAACCAAAAAGAACTGATCTGTGAAGGGCAGTAACTCAGGAAAGTCTTCAAAAACATGTATCACCGACACCAATAGGACCAAATATCATTCTTTTGGTCGAGTCTAAGTACCCCGGTTGCAATGAAATAGATGAAAGAACTAAATGATAGAGGGATTTCCCTTCAAATATTTTCACCAATAATGGTAAGCCTTAACTTACGCCTAACTCGTTGGATGGAGTTGGGATTGGGCCACCATCAAGTAGTTGAAAATGCCTACCTAAAAATACCCAAGGTTTTGAAGAGATACTCATACAAAGGGATGGTATAGTTACCGTACTCACTATAAATTATGTCATCATAATCGGGGATGGTGAGACCCCAACGCGACGATTCACCCACTTTTATAAAAGGATTAATTCAAACTTCCCTCTTTAGAAAACATAGAAACGGTTAAATAATATATAAAACAATTCCATGAAGATGATGTTATGTTATTATTAATATTGTTATTAATTGTTATTTGCTATATGTAACTGACTTAGTCTCTATTGATCGTGAGAGGATCATGGTTGTTAGTTTTAATTAAGTCTAAATTGTAGGGAGTCAAGTATGACTTAGTGACCCTGATTCTTAGGAAGCATTCAGTTCAGTTTTCCTTTTTGTAAGCTATTTATATAGCAGTATTTCATTCTAATAAATATCAGTTACCAGATTTGCTAACATCTGGTATCAGAGCGAGAAAGACCTCAAAAGTGTGAGGGATTCAAAAGTGTGAGAGTACCACAAAATAGAGTGTTTGGGGTATGGGATCCGAAGAGAAGAATGGTGGATTTTCTGTACCCTCCATTCCCAGATTCGATGGAGATTACGATCATTGGAAAATGGTCATGGAAAATCTCTTGAGATCCAGAGAATATTGGCCCGTGGTGGAGAACGGTTACATGTTGCCCAAAGAAGGAGAATTGCAGACAGATACGCAAAGGAAGACCCTGGATGATTTGAAACTTAAGGATTTGAAGGCGAAGAATTACTTGTTCCAATCCTTGGACAAATCAATTCTGAGAACCATCACCAAGAAGGACACTTCCAAGCAGTTGTGGGACTCCATGAAGATGAAGTACCAAGGAAATGATCGGGTTCGACGTGCTCAGCTCAATCGACTCCGACGAGAATTCGAGGTGTTGGCTATGAAACAAGGGGAGTCAGTCAATGACTACTTTGGAAGGGTGATGACCATAGCCAATGACATGCGAAATTGCGGTGAAGACATGACAGATGTCAAAATCGTAGAGAAAATTTTGCGAACACTGACGGAGAAATGGAATTACATTGTGTGTTCCATTGAGGAAGCTAATGATGTTGATGAGCTCACAGTTGATGCCTTGCAAAGTTCCCTCTTGGTCCATGAACAAAAGTTCAAGAGGGAACCAGATGAAGAACAAGCACTGGCGGTTTCTTATGGTAACACCGGTGGTCGAGGACGAGGGAGAAACAGCTTCAGAGGAGGAAGAGGTCATGGACGAGGCCGTCAAAGCTACAATAAAGCAACAATTGAATGTTACAAATGCCACCGATTAGGGCATTTTCAATATGAATGCCCTAATCTCGAGAAGACGGTTAATTATGCTGAGATGAGCAAGGATGAAGAGATGCTTCTTATGGCTTATATTGAAGCATCAGGGGAAAAAGGAGAGACTGCATGGTTCTTAGACAGCGGGTGCAGCAACCACATGAGCGGAGACATCTCTCTCTTTTGTACCATGGAGGAAGGGTTCAAAAGAGAAGTCAGTCTAGGGAACCATATGAGGATGAAGGTTGTGGGCAAAGGGAGTGTTAGGTTAAATCTTGGCGGTGTTTGTTATGTTGTTCAAGAAGTGTTCTATATTCCAGAATTGAAGAACAATTTACTAAGTATCGGACAGTTGCAGGAGAAAGGCTTGGCCTTTCTAATCAAGAACAATGAGTGCAAAATCTATCATCCATTAAAGGGCCTTATCCTTGAAAGCAGAATGACACTCAACAAAATGTTCATATTGCTCTCGAAGACCTCCTCGGCTACCAATGAGTCAGGTGAATGCTGCTTCCAAACTGACATCCAAGAAATTGCTCATCTATGGCACTGCAGGTATGGCCACCTTAGCTATACTGGACTTCAAACTTTGTCAAGCAACAACATGGTTAAAGGCTTGCCAAATCTTGGAGAAATCATTGCTGCTAGAGAAACTACTGTTGTATGCACTGAGTGTTTGAAAGGAAAACAACACAGGGAGATCATACCAAGAAAATCCATGTGGAGAGCTGAAGCCCGATTGGAGCTTATACATGCCGACATATGTGGTCCCATCTCGCCAATGTCACATGGTCAAAAAAGGTACCTCATCTGTTTCATTGACGACTTTAGTAGGAAGGCTTGGGTGTATTTTATTGCTTATAAGAGTGATGCATTTTCTACATTCAAGCAATTTAAAAGTCGGGTAGAAAGGGAGTCCGGTTTATTTGTGAAATGCTTGAGAACTGATCGTGGAGGCGAGTTTACCTCACACGAGTTTACTGATTATTGTAGACAAGAAGGGATAAAAAGACAGCTCACAACAGCCTACACGCCACAACAAAACGGAGTTGCCGAAAGGAAAAACCGAACTGTCATGAACATGGCCAGAAGTTTACTTGCCGAGAAGGAAGTGCCTAAGATTTTCTTGCCTGAAGCGGTTAATTGGGCATTCCATGTGCTTAACAGGAGCCCCACCTCTGCCGTAAAAGGAATGACTCCTGAAGAGGCCTGGTCTGGAGTGAAGCCCACAGTCGAGCACTTCAGATTTTTTGGTTGCATTGCTCATGTCCACATTCCAGATGCTCGAAGAGTCAAGCTTGACGACAAGAGCACTAAATGTGTTTTATTTGGAGTAAGTGCTGAGTCGAAAGGATATAGGTTATATGATCCCATTAAAAGAAAGATCATTGTTAGCAGGGATGTCGTGTTCGAAGAAAATAAGAAATGGGATTGGAATACAAGTCACTCAGAATTTAACAAAGATCAGCTTGATTGTGGAGATATGGATACTACTATTGTTGACCAAGAGAGTGATACAGTGACACCACAAGATCAATCAGAGCATGAAGAAGCCATCGAGTACAGTGGAGATACAAGTCACTCAACAGCTGAGAATGAGGAGCTTGAGAATGCAGCTGGGACTGAGATTGCTACTGAGGATGATAATGTAGTAGCTACAACAGAAAAATCTGCAGCAGTGGGCCAACGTAGCAGAAGAGCTCCAAGGTGGATGGAGGATTATGTGGTGAACTCTGTTGTTTCAAACTCTGATGTGGCAGCATGTATTAACCCCCAATCCTTTGAGGAAGCTGTTCTAAATACCAACTGGAAGAAAGCCATGGATGCTGAAATTCAGTCCATTGAAAAGAATGGAACCTGGACTCTAGTTGAATTACCAAAGGGAGTCGCAAGCATAGGGGTTAAATGGGTGTATAAAACAAAATTGAATCAACATGGTGAGATTGACAAGTATAAGGCTCGCTTAGTAGCAAAGGGATATGCGCAACAACACGGAATTGATTATGAAGAAGTATACGCGCCAGTGGCAAGGCTAGACACTGTGCGTATGATCTTGGCTCTTGCTGCGCAACGAAGTTGGGTTGTGTATCAGCTCGACGTGAAGTCTGCATTCTTACAAGGTGAACTTACAGAGGAGGTGTATGTTGATCAACCAAAAGGATATGAAGTGAAGCATGAGACGACTAAGGTATACAAGCTCCAGAAAGCTTTATACGGCCTTAAACAAGCACCGAGAGCTTGGTTTAGCAGAATTGAAGCATACTTCAGAAACATGGGCTTTGATAAAGAAGCAAGCGAACAAACCTTGTTCACCAAGATCAATCAACAAGGGAAGCATTTGATCGTTAGCCTATATGTTGATGATTTGATTTATACCGGGAATGATGAAGCTATGTTGAAAGAATTCAAACAATCAATGATGGAGGAATTTGAAATGACTGATCTGGGAAGAATGCACTTCTTCCTTGGCTTAGAGGTTATGCAGATTGACAGTGGAATCTTCATCTCTCAAAAGAGATATGCCAAAGAGGTCTTGAAGAAGTTTGGAATGGATAAAAGCAACTTGGTCCTAAATCCTACTGTTCCTGGGGTTAAAATTGATAAAGATGATACAGGTGTGACAGTAAACAACTCCATGTTCAAGCAACTTGTTGGTAGCTTGATATATTTAACCACTACCAGGCCGGATCTGATGTATGCAGTTAGTGTAGTCAGTAGATATATGGCCAAGCCAACTGAGATGCATCTTATGGCAGCAAAGAGAATACTGAGGTATGTGCAGGGAACTATGTGTTTTGGGATTTTCTATCAAAGATCAGGCAATCAGGAGCTTGTGGGATACACAGACAGCGACTATGCCGGATGTATCGATGACAGGAAAAGCACCTCGGGCTATGCCTTTATACTTAGCAATGCAGCGGTGGCATGGTCATCAAGGAAACAGCCTATAGTCACACTCAGCACCACCGAAGCAGAATTCGTAGCTGCGTCAGCTTGTGCCTGCCAACTGATTTGGATGAAGAGGGTGCTGTCCAAGTTGGACTACAATGGAAGCAAAAGTCCAGTGATTTTTTGTGATAACAGTTCTACCATCAAGCTCTCAAAGAACCCGGTTATGCATGGTAAGAGCAAACATATTGATGTGCGCTTTCACTTCCTCCG